TTGGCCAGCATGGCCACCCCACCCACAGGGGGTGGCCCTTCCCAAGGGCTGCACTCACTTGGGCAGAGCCTCCTTGTTGTTCATGTACTCGCTGTACTCCTCCTGTGTGTCGAAGTCCCAGCGGCCCAGAGGCCCCTTCTTGTTACCCTGCAGGGAGAAAACAAGTCAGAGGAGCTCCTCAGTGCCTGCTGGTCAGGGCTTCTGACACAGCCCTATGTGCCCAGCCACAAGCTCAACCTCCCACCAGCCTTGGCTCTGGATCCTCTCCCTGAAAAGCTCCAGGCAGGAGACATTCAACACCCAGCTCCAGGGTTTTCTCTCTCCCATGGGATCCTCTCAGCCAGCACTAGTGCCCAGTTTGCTGGCTGCTCCTAAAGGCTGGTGACAAAATACCTGATCCATTTTGCTGTAGTCCACTTCTTCATCGCTGTCCACAGCCATATCATCCATTCTGGGAAGGAAAAAGCAAGGAAAGGGTTTAGAGTGGGTCCATGGGACATAGATCAGGACTTTGAGCTGGTGGGAGCCCTGTCTTGTGGCCTCAGACCAAATGCACTCAGTTCCTGGACCAGAGAGAAGAACCCCCAGGGCTGCAAGCCCCACAGGTGAGCTGTACCACAGAGCACTCCAATGCTCCAAGGATGACTCTAGAGGCTGAAAGCTCTTCCTCTTCCACTGAGGGAGGCCAGAGCTCCAGATGGATTGCCAGAGAATTCAGCACATTCCCAGCCACTTCAGCCTCTCCCAGGCTGTGAGGGGCTGCAGCTCTGAGCAGCTACGTACAGCAGGGAGCAGCTAAGAAAAGGCCAGGTCTGCCAGAACCAAAGACTGGGGGAACATTTTAACAGTCAATTGTAACCACAGACAAGGCCAGGCCTGCTCCCCCAACAAGCAGTGAAGCTGATGTTCACATTCCTGCTGCCAGAGAACAGCAGCCCCCCTGCACACCCTGATCCCCTTTACACACCCCACTCCCACCCCGCAGCCTCCCACTGTTCCTTACGTGGCAGGGTAGCACTCGGCATAGCTGTTGGACATGCCAAAGAAGTCTCCCAGCTGCTTCTTGTCCTCTGGCTTCTTCAAGGTGACAATAGTTAAGGAAAGCACCACCACAAGCCCTACAGCTACAGGCTGAGCACAGCCAGCTGGAAAACCACCTCCTGCCCCAACACTGCCGAATCGGAGGGTGCAGAGCTTATGTTTGGTGTAGGAACAGCAAGGTTTGGGCAGCATTTCCCTCCTCCCAGGTGAGGAAAGACAGTCCCACAGCCGTGCAGGGGCAGGGCCTGCCTGCAAGGGCAGCCTGGGCCCACACCCAGACAGGCTGGCATGGACAGTAAAGGATATGCCTCTGCTCCTTCCCAGCCAGCAGCTCCAGCAAACTTCTCGTTGATGGACTTGATGAGCTCCTTGGCTGAGCCAGGTCCTGGGGCAGAGAGAGCAGCAGGTTAAATTCAGGGGGAGGAACAGGTCACTGCAATACACATGGAGCTGGGCAGAACCTCCCTGGGACAGGGTAACAGGCAAGACAGGCTGCAAGTGAGGTAGGAGAGCAGCAGCAAACCAGTCTGGCACAGACTGGGGAGGGCTGATCCCAGGACACCTGGAATGTTAGAACACCTGGGGTGGAAGGGACCTTAAAGACCAGCTCATTCCTCCTCCTGCCATGGGCAGGGACACCTTCCACTAGCCCAGGTTGCTCCAAGCCCCATCCAACCTGGCCCTGGACACTTCCAGGGATTGGACATCCACAGTTTCTCTGGGCAACCTGTGCCGGGCCATCACCACCCTCACAGGGAAGAGTTTCTTCCTAATATCTAGCCTAAATCATCTTTTAGTTTAAGACCATTCCCCCTTTTCCTATTACTTCTCTGCCCACAAAAAAAGCCACTCTCCCTCTTTATTATAAACTCCCTTTAGGCACTGGAAGGCTGCAATGAGCTTTGCCTGGAGCCTTCTCCCTGGAATCCTCCTCAGCTTACAGGCAGCATGAGCTCTGCTCTGCTGCCTCTGCACAGTCCACACACACAGAGACAATTCCCTCTGTCACAGCAGTTCTGAAATCTCCAACCCTGTACAACGTCTCTCAGGTGTCCACACCACTTGACTCACCTTTGTCGATGTCTGTGGGCTGCAAAGAAGAGAGAGAGACACAGTGTCAACCCAGGAGGGCTGAAGGCAGGCGAGTGACACTGCTGCATGATGTGCAGCTCTGCTTTAAGACTGTTCCAAGCCTTCAGAGCTGAACTACAAACACTACAAAGTTTGTGCTAGTCCTGCCTCAATTGCTGAGAGACAGGACAAGCACCCAGCCACCCACCAACCCCTGGGGACAGACAGAGCTCAGCAAGAGCTGACACTGTCATGTGTAGGGGCACCCAAAGCCCTCAGGGTGACCCCCCAGCCCCACAGCCACAAACCCCAAAGGGCTCAGGTGGGACTGTCCTTCCTGAGCAGAGGCTCACCTCATCATCAGCCTTGGGCTTCTCAAAGTAGCTGTGCCTCTTCTTCTCCTCCTCCCTCTCCCGGTCCCGCTCCCTGTCTCTCTCCCGGTCCCGGTCCCGCTCTCGGTCCCGGTCGCGCTCCCGGTCCCTGTCACGCTCTCTCTCCCGGTACCTCTCCCGTTCCTTGTCCCGTGGCATCTTGGCAGTGGAGGGCACATAATCCCCAATGTCTTCAAAGATGCTACAAGTGGGAAAGAGCCTGTGGTTATGGGTGCTGCAGGACAAGAGGCCACAGTCACCTCCCTGTGACCTGGAACCTGGTAACGGAGCGCAAAGCACGAGCACCGAGAGCTAGGGATAGCAGATGTGGAACTGGCTTCCACTTATGTCAGAGGCATTGCTGCATTTCTGTTCCCTTCTGCTGCTGGATCTCCATCTTGTGGTCCAGAGCAACACCCCTCACCTGCCTCAAGCCCGAAATCCAAACCAGTGCTTGCCTCCAGCCTTGTCCTACAAACTGCAGGTCCAGCAGCTCCAAACTCAGCCCTCTCCAAACGTGGTGGGCCAAAAAGACATTCCCTAATGCAGAGACCTATGACCCCACAGCCTGTGGGCAGGGTGACACTTACTTCATATCAGCTTCAGGAGGCTTCTTCTCATCCAGCTTCCCTGCAAGGACACAACAGCAGTGAGAGGCACGTCATCTGCTGCTTCCCTGTCCCCAATCCAGGTTCCAAACCCCTGGAGTGGCAAGCCTGGAGGATGTCACCACATCATATTCAGCCCCCTCAGGAAGCCATTGCATCCCTCCCCAAGAGGGGACATTTCCTAGGGAGCTAGGCCTTCACCAGGAAATTCAGAGCAGCACAAGGCACCCTCACAGCTCTCATTTCCCACGAGCCTGTCCTTCAGGACACAGTGTTCAGGAAGTGCTGTTCTCCAAGCCCACTGCCTCACAGAGCAAGGGAATGGCACACCCCAAAACACGTCTCATTCCCTCAGGTTGTGCTCCAAGCACTGAAGTCCTACTACTCAGTTCCCTTCAGCTCCTACCTTTGTCCTTCTTCTTGAGCTTCTTGTTGCGAGTGCCTTGCCTGAGGTAGGAGAGGATCTGCGTGAGCTTGCTGATGACAATGTCGTTGGTGGTCAGGGTGGTCTGAGCCTGAAAGGCAAATCCACGAGGAAGCATCCTGCTCCCTTGGCATGGACCTCCCCCCAGAAAAACCTGCTCTGGCCCATTCAGACCAGTGGGGCCAGCTGGGTACCTCCATGGTGGGGCAGTCGGCCTTGCTGCGGATCAGCGTGGTCGGGATGTCGGTGTCTGCATACTCATCATCCAGATCCACCACGTAGGCCATCCTTCCCGGCAGGAACAGCTCGTTCCGCTCGTAGGTCTTGCTCTTGAACAGAATGCGGTAGATGTTGCGGCCTGGAGAGCAAGGGAAAGTGTGGGAGAGCAGTGGACGAGCCCATGGAGCATGTTCAGTTTATCAGCAACACAAAAATCGCCTCCTAAGCGACACGCTTCCTACAGCCCTCAAATCCAGGACTCCCTCCAATGACTGAAGGGTTTCATTCCTCCATTCACCCTCCAGGATTTCTCCCACATTCACGGCACAACAAAAGGTGGGGAACAGCCACACCCACACAGTCTTACCCAGCCGGGTCTTAAATTCAATTTTGTTCTCGGGATCTTCATCTTTCCTGAATGAAAACAGAAACCAAAAGTATTAAGCCAAGCAAACGCCTCCACTGCCTCCTCCTCTCTGTGAGGCAGCTGCAAAATCCTTTTTGAGAAGTCCAAAGTCCTCAGCCACTCACTTAGTCTCTTTCTGGGGCTTCTCCATCATTTCTTCCTCCTCCTTCTCCTTGCTGGCGATCTCAGCCCGTACCTGGATGTGGAGACCATCCACGCATTACAGCCAACCCCGGCCACTGCCACCAGTGCCCAGACCCTTCAGCAACCCTTCCCACAAAGGGAAATCCACACTGCCAAGATCAGAGCACCTGGAACTGGAACTACCACCCTCTGCCCGTGGGAGAGGGCAGGGCAGAAGAGCAGCCCACTGGTGTCTGCGCTCACCTTCTGCAACAGTGCGAAGTCCAGACCCTTCACCAAGTGAGTGTGCTCCATGTCACCACCCAAGAACTTGGACTCCTGGATCAACTGCCTCCTCTTCTCCGCAGCAGATTTATCCCTGGCCAGTGAGAATGGAGCCAGTTAGAAGCCAGTTAAGGATCAGGCTGGCGAGCCCAGGCCCCACCACGGCTCACGTACGCCTCGGCCGTGGGCCCCACAGCCCTGTAGTTGGCCGTGGTGCTGATCAGCTCCGTCTCCTCGTAGTCCTTGTTCACTCCATCCCTCCTCTCCTTGGCTCGGTCCCGGTACTTCTCAGCCAGTTCCCTCTCGCGCTCGATCTCCTGCTGCCGCAGCTTTGCATAGTAGCTGGGGGTGGGAAACACCTCCGGGTTAAGAGTGACACGTTCATGTTTTTGGGGTCAGGTAACAGCCTCTGAGGCTCCATGTGTCTGTCCTGCTCCCAACCCCCTTCCCAAACCCATAATAAACTGCCATGGGATACAATGTGCCTGGAGAACACCAGGCAAGAGGAAAGTGCTGTACTGAGGCCAACTAAAGAGCAGTTCTACCTTCTCTTCCAAAGGGAAGGGGTCCAGCACAGTCCTGCTGTGCAGACGTGCCCCAAAGGACACAGTGACCACTACAGATGCCCTACCACTGCTCTCCTCTGCCAGACACCCACAGACATCTCCTGCTTCTTCTGGAGGTGAAGCGTCACCCTCATCCTGCTGCTGCCCTCCCACAGCTGTTCCCACAAGCAGTGACAGGCCCTCAGGCTGAGCTCTTCTCCAAAGCTCCAAAATAATCCCTCTTTAAGAGCTCAAGAGCTCAGAAGCTCCTTCCATGGGAGGGACAGGATGTGTAATGACAAGTCCTGATACAATGCTTTCCCCATTTACCTTTTCTTCTTCCTCCTGCGAGCAGCTGGATCTTCATCCTCGTTGTACTCCCGGGGCATCCTGGAAAAGGGTGAGAAAACACATGTGTGTTCTGCAGAGCCACAGGGATGGCAGGTGGAGAGAACAGTCCCTCAGACACAGAACGGCACTGAGGAGCTCCAAGATGGAAAAGCACAGTCCCTCTCCCTAATTTCTCCCTAATTCCACTCTGCAGCAGGGAGAGGAGGGGAAAGCACTGATTTTCACCAAACAAAAACCAAATCTGCCTCCTGCCCAAAGTGTCTTAACAGCCATGAACTTCATTCTGGTTTTGACAGCAGCCCTGACCCACGTGCTTCCCCACTTCACACACTCATCACGAAAACCCCCTTTAGATACTCCGCTGTAGAGTGCAGGGGAGAGCATGAACTGAGCATGGAGCCTCAGAGAGAAAGCAGGAAAGCAAGCCTGGATTGTCCCATGGTCCTGTGAAACAGTCCTACTCACTCATGGTGGCGAGATTTGGACGGTGGCGCAGATGTTGGCGCAGCCCGCGGGGTCATGAGGAGCTTCCTGAAGTCTTCATTGGTCAGCTTGGATCTGCAAGGGAGAGAGGCAACAGAAACCATCATTCCCAAAGAGCTTTGGTGCAGGACAGCTTCCAAGGAGGCAGTGGGTTTGCCAGCAGGTCCTGTGTGGTAGAGATGGGCATGGGGTCTTAAGGATGGGGTGCACCAGCGAGTCCCAGCTTCGAGATGAGCATTGGGCTGGGGTCTCATAGTGCTGGCCCAGTCCCATCCCAGTGCTGCCCAGTGCCCCAGAGCTGTACTCACTGGTGGAAGGAGTGCGAGTCATCCACATCGTGGCCATCAGGGGCCAGGGGGTTGGAAAACGGCTCATCTGGGGAACGGGAGAGAGAGAGCTCAGACAGTGCCTACGCGACACTGACCCCTCTGCCCACCCACTCGGCCCAGGAGCAGGGACCGGAGC